GGGTCTTTGCCTTGAAAATGACCTTACGGTATCATGTACCGTAAGGTCATTTTCAAGGCAAAGACCCCATATATCAAATATATATATCATCCGTGATAAATTGAATTTACACTAAAATCTCTTCGTTTTCGTTATTAATATATTGATGAAACAACTTCTACAAATTTATCTTAAACATGTTAAATCGATTTTACGGCACTGGTTTTATTAATCGTTCTTTTAATCAATCAGGATAACCCTACGGGACTATAATTTAATAGTCTCGAAGATCCCAAATATCGATTTGACTAGATTATCAGGATCTGATAAATGTCCGAAGCAAAAATAAATATTATCAAATTAGTGAGAACACAATCAAATTTTATAAATCCTATGAACCTACAAATCCCGCATATCAACATTATAAAATTAATGACAGTATATAGAATTCATAGAATTCATCTCACTAATTTGAAAAGAACGATAGATCATGTAACTTAAAGATGCACTAGATCTTGTGTAGCATAATTGGACTAAATAATTTTCAATGCGCGATCAATGAAAATTTTTCCTAACCACAAATGTTTTTACAAAAATTAAGATTTAGATTTTTTAATCAAAATAAAATTTCGTTTTTTCCGAGAAGCCAACCAATATCTCAGAAATCACAATCAGATATTTTAAATCTTCTTAAATCTGATAAACATGAGGTACACGATGGATACAGAATAGTAGCTGGCGTAGTTTTGTCGCGTAATCCTATTATCCTCAGAGACCTACACCCCTTTGAACGAGAATATTATTTATATCAGCAACGATTAGAACATATACATGCACCACCCTTTCCGGTGGATTTTTATTTTAAAAAAGGTAGCGTAGCAGAGAAAAAATGGAAGGAAAAAAAAGAAAGAGAAAAAGCAGATGCATTATTAGCATTTGGTTCACGAAAAACAAAAAATAAAACGTCTTCTGAGAAAATTGGCGAGGATGGAACTATAGATTCAAGTGATGTATCATCGGAGGAAGAAGAAATAAAAATTGCTAGTAGAATAACATCTGCCGACTTAACGAATGATATCAAGTCACTTGATAGAGCTTTACAGCGTACGTTATACCTTATCGTCAAGAAACCAAGAGAAGAACATTCGTGGCAATTCCCACAAGGTGGAGTTGAGAAAACGGAAACGTTGGTTCAAGTAATTTGCTATTCGATTTATCAATAGATTTCAAGATTCAATTTATTTTTAAAATTATATATATAATATATAATAATTTCGTGACTAATAACCTTCGAAAAGGCTGCTAGTCGAGAATTGGAAGAAGAATGTGGTAATTGTATGGACGTTTGGTTCGTTGGGAGAAGACCAGTTGGGTATTACAAGTATAACTACCCAAAAAGCTTTGTAAAAGACAATGCCGAATATAAAGGAGCAAAGGTCTTTTTAATTTTTTAATTTTTAAGTTTCTGTTTTATTCATCATAAACTAACGCAATCTTTTGTTAGGTATTTTTCATGGCCGCGCACATATTCGCTGGTCAAGTCAACGTAGATAATAAGGAAATTGTAGATTTTGCGTGGGTTACCAAGCAAGAGATGAAAAATTATGTACATACCGAATACTATGAAGCTGTTAAAGATATGCTGTCTGAACACTAAAGTTCTCATTCATATCATTCTTTACTTTTAATTCACGCTAATTTAATTAACTTGTTGATATTTTATATTATTCTATAATTACGCTCATTGTGGTGATTTTAGTCGAGATTCATTTGTTCGACTTGATAATTAAAATAGACTATTCTAATTTCTATTGACGACCTATTTAGCATATGTCTTTGACTTTCGTCACCAAATCTGAACCATGCACGTCTTTTTTTATTAATTAGCTAATGGTTGGTTACCGTAAAATTTTGAATAATGAGTTTTCGAAAATCAAAGCTTTTCCAAAATAACGCCCGCATTCTTAAGTAGCAAAGTCATTAATTTAATTTAGTATACGTAAAATTAGATTTGAATACTACATAGTGTATAACCACGGGTGTTTATGATACTTAAATTTTGTTAACAAAAAAGATTTCATGCAAAATTTTTAACTTTTAAGCCTTTAAATTCTACATTATACATATGAATTGCATTAGTGTAAACGCGATTTGATTGGTTACAGATCATGTTGTCTGTTAATTCCTATTAATCTGATTGGTTGAATTTACGCGATCATAATATAAAACATTACCGCGGCACTCATGTATAGTGCAACTTATACTCAATACTGACCATAGTATCTCTTCAACTAAATTTTTAAATCTGTAAAATAAGGTTTTTTATTTTATTTTTTTTTAAGAACTCTATTAAACTCAAACTATTCAAGAGTTTGCAAACTTTGAATCAAATTTCAAATCAAATCAAACTTAACTAAAAAATTTGTCTTCAAATCAAGCTCAAATATTTTTTTAAAAATAATTTGAGTTTGGTTTGAAAACTCGAGCTTGTTAAAAGTTTGATTTGATTTGGTTTGATAGAAACCCTAGATTGTTCAGACTATAAACTTCGTGGAATAGGATGCAAACACATATTTTGTGTATGCCAGAATTTCTACTCGGCACCAGTACCTGAAGCTTCGTATGTTCAAGAAACAGAGGAGCCTAAGCAAGTTGATGATATGTCTTTTGAAGAGTGGGTTAACACAATTCGAAGAGTTTGGGATCGTCATGGTCAGGATAAAAGAAATTTAATAAATGTTGCCTACAGGAATAAAAAGAAATTTTAAAATTTCTTTATCCTATTCCAGAAACTGAGTTTAAAAAGCACTAATTATAACATAAAAAAACAACTAAACAATAAGTAATAAATTAATAATATAAAGTGCCTAATTTTATCTGGTGAACTTGATCTTTTTTCGCGTTTATAAAAAATTATAAATTGATTTCGCGTAAAAAAAGAAAATAAAGATCATCGTGAACGATTCTGATTGGCCATTAGATGATCACAGAACATCACGTAAGGTGATGCACTGCACTCTGTGACATCGCCTAAATTTTTGTGTAACAAAGAACGGTCTCTCTTGTATATTCGTGAATAACAAAGGTTCATGAATGGTTACTGTAGCCATGAAAGATATTCAAAGGATCAGACCTCTAACAACAGGACCAATAGAGTCCTCAATACGGACTCGACAAGCAGAAACATCAGCACTTGTACAATCTACACCTTATCCTAAACCAAGACAACAGTTAATATCTAGAACACCTAAAAAGTCTCCACTACCTTTTCTAGTTCGCCAATTAATTATTAAACAAGAACTACCTAGAAATAAATATCAAGATCATGTGAACAATTCAAAAAATATTCTTGTATATCATGTCGGATTATTTGCATTTTTATTCATCATCACATCTACCCAACTTCACCGGTAAGAGGAATGAGCAAAAATTAGATTTATCATAATTATTGCTAAACTCGGTATTTCTTTTTACAGAGAATTTATTGTGACAACACTCGGACAACGTTGGAGTTCCGCACCTACTATAATACATGGTGTGGGTGAGCATCTTAAACGATAATTATGGCATATATATACAACATTTTAATTCATCAACTTTATTATAGAATATTTGATCTTTGTCTATTTAATATTTGGGTTATTACGATTGTGGTATGTTAATTATCTATGGAAAAAAGAGGAAAATAGAATCGCGGAAATTAGAGCAAAAATAGGTAGTTTATAATTGTTATTTCGCAAAATATAATCAAATTTAATAAATACTAACAGTTAAAAATTTATTAAGAAAAAGAATTAGACGTACCTGACACAACGGTTCCTATAAATGGAACGGCGACTGCATCTACTGGTCTAAATACATCTACAGTTGGAGTTCCTATGACTACGTTTGGCCCCTCTGCATCAATTACTGGCTCTTCTATGTCAATTACCGGCCTTTCTACATCAATTGCTGGTCTTTCAACATCAATTACTGGTCCTTCTACATCAATTACTGGTCCTTCTACATCAATTACTGGTCCTTTTACATCAATTACTGGTCCTTCTACATCAATTACTGGTCCTTCTACATCAATTACTGGTCCTTCTACATCAATTACTGGCCCTTCTACATCAATTACTGGTCCTTTTACATCAATTACTGGTCCTTTTACATCAATTACTGGTCCTTTTACATCAATTACTGGTCCTTCTACATCAATTACTGGTCCTTCTACATCAACTACTGGTCCTTCTACATCAATTACTGGTCCTTCTACATCAATTACTGGTCCTTCTACATCAATTACTGGTCCTTCTA